GTCTCTTCTTTCTCCGTCTTCGATTTCATGACTCGTGACCTTCTTCCTTCGTTCGCTCTGCTTGTGCTATCGGTAGGTTTTTTTCAACCTCTGGCTTGCAACTTCACATTATTGTGACAAATTGCACTTCTAAGGAAATCAAACTTTCACCATCATCTTCACGCCCCCATCCATGACCCAACCCTCAAGCTCCCTCACTAACTTGACGAGTCAGATCCAAGGAGCAGCTCATTCTTCAAAGGTTATTCAAGGAGAAAAGTCTCTAAAAATGGATTTTGGATCGAGTCGGGAATAGATTGGTTTGTGTACGAATCACTAAATTTGGGGAGAATAACCAAAGTAGTCCTAAACTTATTGCAATTATGTCAATTCAGTCTTCAACCTTTTTTTTGTGTATCAATTGAGTTCTAAATCTTTTGTATTTGTACCAATTTTAGTCTATCTGGCCAATTTTAGCTGGATAGCGCTGACATGGACGCCAGCCGTCTTACATGGCGCGACCGGCACTGAGGTGGACAAAATTTTAATAATTTTTCGATTTTTTTTATTTTTTTATTTTCCTTTTTTTAGTTTTTTTCCTTCTCTTTCTTTTTTGTTTTTTTCCTCCCTTCATCTTTAACCTCTAGTCGGCCTGGTTGACTCCGCTGGCTGGGCGAGGACCTCATCGTCGCTGGGCGAGGCTCAACCTTGCCATTCCTCGCCCAGCGACGGCGAGGTCAAGCCTCGCCTAGTCTTTGATATTTAACATTTTTTATATAATTCAGGAATTAAGTTGAACACGTACAAAATTTTATAGACCACATTGAATAAACTGAAAGTACATGGACCATATTGCACATTGGGGCTAAAGTTTATGGCCCACATCGAATAAATTAAAAGTTCAATGACCACATTGCATATTGGATCAAAATTTATGGATTATTTGTATCATTTTCTTTTTTTCAGACAACCTTTAAAATATTATAATCTATATTAAAATGTAACTTCTAGAAGTTAAGTACAAGAAGTCCTTTTAGATGGACATTTAAATAATTAAAAAAAAAAGTTGAACAAGCTAACAACGCAGCGAAATTGCCCGGAAAGCCGCCTAACATGAGAAACAGGGTTAAATATTACATTTGTAACGAAATCCGCGTAGGATGACGAAAGGTGCTTGGGAATAGTCCACGAACTTGGCAATGAAGATGATCTCCGGCCTAGATTCTATTGAACTCAGGCCATTCTGTGGTGGGACGGGTCGCTTCCGGCGGGTGAAAATATGAGATTGTTGGCGATATCCGAGTCTAGAGGTCACGTCCAATCGCCGGGGAGTTGCACGGCGGTGAAGCCCAAGGAAGCCATTGATGTCTCTTCTTCTTCCTTTAGGCCCGCCTTTTCAATTTAATCGATAACTCGGTAATAGTCTTTCATTTACACTTTAGATAGGAAAAAATATATATATATTTTAAGCAAAGAAATCTCTTCGGGAGATGCAGCAAGAAACAAACAGATTAAACATCGATCCGAAATTGGACCCAAAAAAAAAACATCAATCCGATTGCTGTGCAAGTTAGCAACTAGTTTCTTAAGTAAATATAGGTTGCACATTTTTCTTTTCATGTGTATCTTCTAATTTCAACTTCATAAAAGATTCAATCGAAGAAATATGCACTACTTATTTGAAAGAAGTCGATGCATCAATTCAATTGAATTAAATTACATTTAGCTAAAGGTCGGGACGGATTAATATAAATCATATGAGATGGAGCGGTTCAACTTACCTAAAGATTGAGCACAAATTTACGGGAGTAAGACTAATGTGAAATAATAAGCTGGTGGAGATGGTGAAGTATGTCGATGAGGTAGTATGTGTGATTATATGAAAATGTTTAATGTCATCCTTTCATTAATTCAAAATAATGAAAACTGTTGATATGATTTCCACTCTATTAAGTTGGAAAAAAAGTTACACGTGAATTATCTACGTAGGATATTTATCTCAAATCAGGATATAATAATCAATGCCATCAAATATTTTTTTCTCATCTAAAGTAGATGGCTAACTGGACAGATATGTTCACACATCATTTTTGAAAATCTTACATTTATTAATAATTTAAAGACTACATTAAATAAATTAAAAGTCCATAAATGACATTGTACATTGGACCAAAATTCAAGAACCACTCCCGTCATTTTTTTCAATTTATAAATGAATCAATACCAAGAAAAACCATTAACTACACAAAAAATCTCAAACTGGCACACTTGTGATAGCTTTATCCAATTGGATTAATACCACGAAAAATTACAAATTGATACATCTGTGATAAACGGAGGGTAAAACTCCAAATTTATAAATCTGTTAATTGTCACGTGTAATCCAACTCAGTAATTTGACAGTAAAATTTAACGGAAATTAAAAAATGATGAATTTATCATAACCAATTTGGGGTAAATTTTTCACATGTATTATTTTGAAGTTTTTCGTGACATTACCCCTTAATAAATAAAAACCGGTGAAAATATGCAATTTTGTTTTTCGATTCCAATTATTTATTTTCTTTTTTTCCCTTTTTTTTTATTTTCTTTCCTTCTCTTTTTTTTTTCCTCCCTTCATCTTTAACCTCTAGCCGGCGTGGTCGACCCCACCGGCTAGGCGAGGACCTCATCGTCGCTGGGCGAGGCTCAACTTTGCCATTCCTTACCCAGCAACGACGAGGTTGAGCCTCGCCCAGTCTTTGGTATTGAACATTTTTTATATAATTCGGGAATTAAGTTGAACAGGTACAAAAATTTTAAGGACCACATTGAATAAACCGAAAGTACATAGACCACATTGCACATTGAGGTTAAAGTTTAGGGCCCACATCGAACAAATTAAAAGTTTAAGGACCACATTGCACATTGAACCAAAATTTATGAACCATTTGTGTCATTTTCTCTTTTTCAGACAACCTTTAAAATATTATAATCCATATTAAAATGTAACTTCTAGAAGTCAAGTGCAAGAAGTGCTTTTAGATGGACATTTAAATAAATAATAAAAAGTTGAACAAGCTAACAACGTAGCGAAATTGCCCGGAAAGCCGCCTAACATGAAAAACAGGGTTAAATATTACATTTGTCACGAAATCCGCGTAGGATGACGAAAGGTGCTTAGGAATAGTCCACGAACTTGGCAATGAAGGCTGCGTTTGGTCGTCCGGATTTCCAAACAGGATATGACTGGATAGGATAGGATAAGAAATCCCGGGATTTCTTCATATCCTATCCACTGTTTGGTGAACTACGGATTTAAAGTCGGATAGGATAAATTTTTTTTTTTTTTGCTATTCACGGGTCCGGAGGAGTCGGTGAAGGAAAAAAAGCCGAGAAATTTTTTTGGTGAAAGCGCACAAGGTGTGGGGATGAAGATGACGGCGAGTCGAGCATAGGGTTTCTGGAAAAATAGACATTAGAAATCCTATCCAGGTCTATCCCACCCCTCCTCTCGGATTTTTTTATCCGGGCTATATCCGGTCTATATCCGACCTTATCCTATCCTGGATCACCACCAAACACAGGATAGGATAAAACATATCCTATCCTGACTTTTATCCGGTCGACTAAACGCAGCCGAAGATGATCTCCGGCCTAGATTCTATTGAACTCAGGCCATTCTGTGGCGGGACGGGTCGCTTCCGGCGGGTGACAATATGAGATTGTTGGCGATATCCGAGTCTAGAGGTCACGTCCAATCGCCAGGGAGTTGCACGGCGGCGAAGCCCAAGGAAGACATTGATGTCGCTTCTTCTTCCTTTAGGCCCGCCTTTTCAATTTAATCGATAACTCGGTAATAGTCTTGCATTTACACTTTAGATAGGAATATATATCTATATATATATATATATCTATATATATTAATCATAGAGATCTCTTCGTGAGATACAGCAAGAAACAAACAGATTTAACATCGATCTGAAATTCGACCAAAAAAAAAAAACATCAATCCGATTGCTGTGCAAGTTAGCAACTAGTTTCTTAAGTAAATATAGGTTGACCATTTTTCTTTTCACGTGTATCTTCTAATTTCAACTTCATAAAAGATTCAATCGAAAAAATAGGCGCTACTTATTTGAAAGAAGTCAATGGATCAATTCAATTGAATTAAATTACATTTAGCTAAAGGTTGGGACGGGTTAATATAAATCATATGAGATAGAGCGGTGCAACTTACCTAAAGATTGAGCTCAAATCTACTAGAGTAACACTAGTGCGAAAATAATAAGCTAGTGGAGATGGTGAAGTATGGCGAAATTCTGTTATTTGTTGAATTTTTTGATTTTAATTTAATTCTAAAAGATTAAATATGTGGAGTAACAAATCAATAATGACGAATGACATAAATGATTTATGAAATTTGATTCAATATGTAATGTGGTCTCTAAATTATCTATAAATGTTCAATATAATCCTTAGACTATATGAAAATGTTTAATACTGTACTTTCATTAATTCAAGTTAATGGAAGCTGTTTGATGTGATTTTCAATCCATTAAGTTTGAACGCTGGACCAAAAAAAAAAAAAAGTTACGCGTAGGATATTCATCTCAAATCAGGATAAAATAATCAATATCATCAAATGTTTTTTCCTCGTCAAAAGTAGATGGATAAATGGATGGACACGGAACTCATTATTTTCGAAAATCCAACATTTATTAATAATTTATGGATTATGTTGAATAAATTAAAAGTCAAAAATCGACATCTTGCATTGTGCCGAAATTCAGAGACCACTCGGGCCATTTTCCGAATTAATAAATACGAACGCGTGAAAGTACGCAATTTTGTTTTCGATTCCGATGCTTAACGCGTCTTAGCGACTTCCATCGAGACCGACCAAAAAACAGACACGGACCGGGAGAAGTCTACGCCGCCGGAAGGGCCTGGCACAAGCCAATGAGATTCGAGCCACGGAACATTCTGGAAGCGCTCTCTTTCCTCCCCGAACCTCTACAAAGCCTCGTGCTCCGACCTCCTAGCTTCAAGCTTCGTGCCCTTCTTCGATCGCCTCCCTTCCATTCTCGTTCCTTCACGCGTCCTCCGTCGTCGGCGCAACCCTTAAGCTAGAGAGCGAGAGCGAGAGAGAGAGAGAGAGGAAGGCCACAATGGGCGGCAAAGGCGAGGGTCCGGCCATCGGGATCGACCTCGGGACGACCTACTCCTGCGTCGGGGTGTGGCAGCACGACCGCGTCGAGATCATCGCCAACGACCAGGGGAACCGGACGACGCCGTCCTACGTCGGGTTCACCGACACCGAGCGCCTCATCGGGGACGCCGCCAAGAACCAGGTCGCGATGAACCCGACGAACACCGTTTTCGGTAAGACCTGAGTTCTAGGGACCCGGTCTTTATGTATTAATATTGGGTTCCCTAGAGTGGTTTGTGGTTGGATCGAGGCTTCTTCCAAAGATGGTTGTATTAATATTCGGGCTTTGCTTGGACTCGGTGCATGTTGTTTTCCTGGCAGATCTAGGGATGTTACGGCGCGCGCGCGTCGTGTTTAGGAGTGCTCGTTGCGGTTTTTCTTCGTGATCTGCTGTAGCTCTGAGTAGTCGCTGTCTATTCTTTCCGGATTTGGCTTGTCTGTATTTTTTTTTTGTTTTTGTTTTTGGGTGTTGCTCGCAAGTTGACTCTTTTTGTTTCCTGGTTAGCTTACTAGGTTTTTGTACTCTTATCCTGCTGGCGAATCGCTATTTGTTGCTGCATGTGGTTTAAAACGATTGGTTTTTTCGTATTATGAGGTCTAGCCTTTAAGTTGCAAGCACGCGTGTTAAACTCGCCTGATATTTAACTGAGATTAAAGTACGGTGTAGGAAGAATAATTGCATTTACTCATGCTGTACGTACATGGACCGTATATATGGTCCGCCATCTGTAACGTGACGACTTTGTCGGGCAGTGATATTGGAATTTACTGTTTCAGAACCGAGCAATTTCGTAGGAGGGTAATCGGTTCGACCTCTTGTGCTTAAGAAGGAATTGACTTGGTATACTTCCAGATGGGTCTGCGCATTGTTCAACTTTAATATGAAGTGTTGGGTCTTGATGTTTCGAATCTTTTCTGCACAAATACGGGTTGGTGCTGTGAAATGTGGATTATTAGTTTCAAAGTTATAGTTAGCTTTAGACAGCTTGGTTCTGTAGGTGGGGATACTCTGTGTGCAATGGAATACTGCTGTACGTTTTTTGTTGCTTGGGTGATTTACACTTGCCTTTCCACTACAGATGCCAAGAGATTGATTGGCCGGAGATTCAGTGATGCCTCTGTACAGAGTGATATTAAATTGTGGCCATTCAAGGTCATTCCTGGGCCTGGGGACAAGCCCATGATTGTGGTCAACTACAAGGGTGAGGAGAAGCAGTTTGCTGCTGAGGAGATCTCTTCCATGGTCCTCATGAAGATGCGTGAGATTGCTGAGGCTTATCTTGGATTCAATGTGAAGAACGCTGTGGTCACTGTCCCAGCATACTTCAATGACTCCCAGCGTCAGGCCACCAAGGATGCTGGTGTCATCGCAGGCCTAAACGTGATGCGTATCATTAATGAGCCTACAGCAGCTGCTATTGCTTATGGTCTTGACAAGAAAGCAACCAGTGTCGGCGAGAAGAATGTCTTGATCTTTGACCTCGGTGGTGGTACATTCGATGTCTCTCTCCTCACCATTGAGGAGGGTATCTTTGAGGTGAAGGCCACTGCTGGTGATACCCACCTTGGTGGAGAGGACTTTGACAATAGAATGGTCAACCATTTTGTCCAAGAGTTCAAGAGGAAGCACAAGAAGGACATCAGTGGCAACCCTAGAGCCCTCAGGAGGTTGAGGACATCTTGCGAAAGGGCCAAGAGGACACTCTCATCCACGGCCCAGACCACCATCGAAATTGATTCCTTGTATGAGGGTGTTGATTTCTACTCAACCATCACCCGGGCTAGATTTGAGGAGCTCAACATGGACCTTTTCAGGAAGTGTATGGAGCCGGTTGAGAAGTGTTTGAGGGATGCCAAGATGGATAAGAGTACTGTCCACGATGTTGTCCTTGTTGGAGGTTCAACTAGGATTCCCAAAGTTCAGCAGCTTCTGCAGGATTTCTTCAATGGCAAGGAACTTTGCAAGAGTATTAACCCAGATGAGGCCGTTGCCTACGGTGCTGCTGTTCAAGCTGCCATCTTGAGCGGTGAGGGCAATGAGAAAGTGCAGGATCTCTTGCTGTTGGATGTCTCCCCACTCTCCCAAGGTCTCGAGACTGCTGGCGGTGTCATGACCGTGTTGATCCCTAGGAACACCACCATCCCCACAAAGAAGGAGCAAGTTTTCTCTACCTACTCAGACAACCAGCCTGGTGTGCTCATTCAGGTCTACGAAGGTGAGAGAACGAGGACCAGGGACAACAACCTGTTGGGTAAATTTGAGCTCTCAGGCATTCCCCCGGCTCCTAGGGGCGTCCCTCAAATTACTGTGTGCTTCGACATTGACGCAAATGGTATCTTAAATGTGTCTGCTGAGGACAAGACCACCGGTCAAAAGAACAAGATCACCATTACCAATGACAAGGGAAGGCTATCCAAGGAGGATATCGAGAAGATGGTTCAAGAGGCAGAGAAGTACAAGTCCGAGGACGAAGAGCATAAGAAGAAGGTCGAGGCCAAGAATGCCTTGGAGAATTACGCCTACAACATGAGGAACACCGTCAAGGACGAGAAGATTGGCGCCAAGCTCCAGCCTGCCGATAAGAAGAAGATTGAGGACACCATCGAGCAGGCCATTCAATGGCTGGACGGCAACCAGCTGGCCGAGGCTGACGAGTTCGAGGACAAGATGAAGGAGTTGGAGAGCATCTGCAACCCCATCATTGCCAAGATGTACCAAGGTGCCGGTGCTGACATGGACGCAGAGATGGACGATGATGATGGTCCTGCTGCCGGTGGAAGCGGAGCTGGTCCTAAGATCGAGGAGGTCGACTAATTATTCTCCATGGCTATCTTTATCTAGTGTTTCTTTTTGCCCCTTTTCTGTTATGTCTAGGATCTGCAAGCGCTTGGATGTTTATCTTGGCTTTTCTTTGTAAGTGTTTGTTCCCAAAGCGCTTGGATGTTCATCTTCATACTAGATCTTTTGTGCAATCGTTGGTGCCGCCATTCTTTAATCTTTGGGTGCAGTTGTTGTGCAAAGTTTGGATTCATTATCTCCCAACGGGCCTAGTTTGGAGACATTAACATACCTACCTCTATCTTTGCCTCACTCCCTCTAAAAACCAAGCCATGTTACTGAGGTAGCTAAAAGGGCCGGTCCATAAGAAGACGTGCGAGTAGAACACAATCATAACGGATGGTAAGACAGGCCGTGATTAGCTAGAAAAAAAATTGTTACAGTTATAAGCTGAGCATCAGTGAGGCGTAGGGGTGGTCCGGTCCAATGGAAAATGTTGTCCGAGGGTGGAACCGGACCGCCTGGATACTGATTTCACTTTTAAGAATCGAGAATTGGACCGATATTTTCAGGAAATGGATCAAACTGGCCGGTCCGGTCCGGTCCGAGCAGTTTGTTTTGCACACTCTAGTGAGGCGGAGACACCAGATACAACCTTTATTTAAATGTTAGATGATTTTATTTTTGTTTCTAGTTATAAATTGCAAAATCATGACTTTTTTAACAGTTTATTTAAATGTTCTTTAATTAAAAGAAATGTTTGGTTGCACCTAATGAGAAAATTTGTCATGTCTCACTTCTAATTTTATTTTATTTTTTCATTTCATTGTTCTCATAATACTTTTCATTCATAAACCATATAGTTGACATAATTATCAACTATACAGGGGAAGGGGCTTCCCCATTTTTTAGGTAACCAATTCCCTCTTATTTTTTCTTCTTAAATACCTCTACGGATATTACTGTAAGCTTCAAAGTTTCTAAAAACCACGTATGTATCGCTATTTCATTACTTCTGTCTCTCTTTTCGTTTTTCGTTTTTCATTTCTTCTCAATAAATTCATATTTCGCGACACTTATATTTTAAGATTTGGAAATTAAATAAGGATCTTTAAGTTTTTGATATTTAATTAGCGAACACACGCAGTTTTCGACGTGCAGAAATGCTAGTTAATTCAAATAGATTCGAGACACTATCCCTCGATGAAGAGGGATCGGGACTATTCATCGCTAACATACAAAGGACAAGATAATTGGAGAAAGTTGAAGGAAGTTGTACAATTGTGTAAATTTTAGCTAGACGCATATTAAAACCAGTATTAATTAATACACTTTTTTTTTGGTCGGAATTTAATACACTTTAGTAATTGCATAAACTTATTACCTACGAGACGAACTTTAAATTAAAAGGGAAAAAGGCAATTTCGAGATAACTTTTTGATGAGTGAACTTGAAGATAGTTTTAAAGAATCTCGAATAATTCCGTTGCGAAGGAAAAAAGAAAACACAAGTTCATAAATAGAAGAGATTTGTGATCTTTTGGTTCCAAAATTTCCTTTGATTAATCTAAAATTTTTCGTAGACAATCATTTTTTTTATGAGAAAAAGTCATCAAAAACCTTGAACTATGTCCGTTGTGACACATTTACTCCAAACTTTTTTTATGACACCAAAATCTCTAAACTATACCCAGTGTGACACATTTACCTCAAATTTTTTTTTGTGACACCAAAAACTCTAAACTATGTTCACTATGATGCATTTATCCTCCGTTTTGATTCCGTTAAAAATCCCTGTTAAAATTTGACGTGGCTCCAATGTGTTGCTAATGTGGCGCCACGTAAGCGTAAAGTCAGAAAAAATTAAAATAAAAGTTAAACCCAATCGCTGTTACTGTTCATCATCTTCGATGCACTGTTCATCGTCTTCAAGCGCTTGTCCATCGCTGCCCAGAGCCGCCTGGACATTCGGCTATGTATAATTCATCCTTTTTTTTTTCTTTACTTTACTTTTTTTTTCTTTTGTTGTAATCTTCTTCCTTGTTCCTTTAGGGTTCATCTTTCTGGGTAAATACCGCCATTTTTCCTCTAACTTCAATAGTCAAATACTGGCAAAATCAATCCATGGACTTCGCCACTTTGATCACCGCATCTCCAAACCTTGGAACAGAACTGGAAGACTGGCAAATAATAGCCAATGTTTGCACCGTCGTGATTCCAAGGCACATTCCATGATACGGCCAAATTCCGCGACTTCGAGAACAAGAGGGAAAAGGTTCAATAGCTCCTGATGTTTACTGGAAATGGGTTAAAGACATGGAGAGTAGCCCCAGTAGTGCAGAAGCTCGTGAGAAAGAGGAATAGAGTGACATGGACAGCTCGGCTACTCCATATCTCGGCGAGCTCGGCCCCAAGTAAAACACAAAATTGGGTTTGAGAGCGAGATCTTGTTCTTGAACATCGAGTAAGGCTCATGGTCACCGGACTGCTGCGACGACCTTAGAATCGAGGTGGCCCGAGCGAGCCCCCACGTCCTCGATCCTAGCTCGGGAAGCATGGACAACCTCGACCGAGGTCGTCGTCCACGGATGAGCACTTGAAGACGATGAACAGAGCATCCAAGACGATGAACAGTAACAGCGATTACAGTGCTTCGATAATTTTCTTTTTTAGGTTTAATTTTTATTTTTATCTTTTTTGGTGCCACATCAGCGACACGTTGAAGCCACGTCAGATTTTAACGGAACCCAAACGGAGGGTAAATGTGTCACAGTGAGCATAGTTTAGGGTTTTTGGTGTCACAAAAAAAAATTTGAGATAAATGTGTCATACTGGTCATAGTTTGGGGTTTTTTGTGTTACAAAAAAAAATTCTAGATAAATGTGTCATACTGGTCATAGTTTTGGATTTTTTGTGTCACAAAAAAAATTTGGGGTAAATGTAACACAATAGGCATAGTTCAAGGTTTTTTGTGGCTTTTTTCCCTTTTTTTTTTATTAATACAAAGATTTATATCAAGAAAATCCTATTTGTTGCATTTGTGCTAATTTCGTTCTAAACTTTTTAATTTTGTTAATTGAATTATAAACCTTTCAACAATTTGCCAATATAGTCAATTTGGTCAATTTTGACCGAAAATCGCCGACATGGACGCCGGGCATTCTACATGGCACCGCCAACGTTGACATGGACAATTTTTGCAATTTTTTCTTTTCGTTTTTCTTTTTTCTTTATTGTGGTCGACGATGGCTTGATGACCCTCGCCGGCTGGTGGTGAGGGCTACGACCCTCACTAAATCTGGAGGTGATGGAGGCCCTTGCCAAGTCAGGGAGAGTGACTCTCACCTAGGTGAGGCCGGTCCTCGCTTGCGTTTAGTGATGGTGACCTCGCCTAGCCTCGTTGAACATCGCCTCAAACTGGCTGCCGGCTAAAATAAAAGAAAAAATGAAAAAATGAAAAAAATGAAAAATGGAAAAAAAAATTAGAAAAATTTTAACAAATTGTCCACGTCAGCGCCGGCCGTTTCAGCACTGGCCATGCCACATATGACGGCCGAAGCTGACTGGATCGCCAAGTTAGTGTTTTCCGGTTAAAATTGGCTGGAATAACTATATTGACAAATCGTCAAAAGGTTTAGGACTGAATTTGCACAATTAAAAAATTTATGACCGAATTGGTACAAGTGCAATAGGTTTATGGCTTTTTTGTTTTTGGTAATACTCTCTCTACTTCTTTAATAATAGATTATGTTCACCGTCATTTTTGGAAAAAAAAACTGTTTTATACGCAACCATCTAAACCGCGTTTTCGCGAAAAGACCGTTTTCTCATCTCCGACAATAAAAAAAAGAAAAGAAAATATTTACACGAACGATGATGAAATGGCCTCTTAATAGCAACAGAAGTGGGAAAATTGCACCAAAACGGATGTGCTTATCCACCAACACCGACGATTTGACAAATCACATATCAGATTCAAAAAAGCAAACAACCCCCCCTCCCTCCTTTACTTTTGTATTTTTTAAATGCTTTCCTCATGTTTTCACCCCCCCGTCCCCACCAAAGAAGAAAAAAGAAGAGAAGAGAGAGCACATCAGCTGCAAATTCCAATTTACTTTTCCCCCTTTTTGGCTTTTGAATTTGTTTATTCTTTCTTTTTTTTTCTCAATTTCAGAGAGTCCCTCTCAGCCTCAGTGGAATCCACTCGTCAAATGGACAACACATCGCAACACAACAAAACTCCCGGAAAGGGGCAAAGAAAAGGGGAAGCGAGGAAAACAAGAGGAAGAGAAAAGGGGAGCGGAAGACAAGGACACCCACGATGCCAGTCCTCGGCCCCCCTTCTGGGACATCATCATCGTCGTTCACAGTCACCAGACGCCTTCCTTGACCTTTCTCCCACGTACGACCCACGACTCAGACCCTAGAGAGAGAATGAGAGAGAGAGAGAGAGAGAGTCAATGATTCAGGCTGTTTTGTCAACGTTTCCAGATCAGGTGGGCAGAGAAACCTCGAAAGAACCAGGAGTATTCACTGTGTGAATTATGAATGCGGGGCTGTTGTTCTGGTGCGCTTTATGGCCGCATGCATCATGCGGTCTTTGCCGAGGACTTAGGAGCAAGCCCCCCATTTTGGACCAGGTCCCTGTTCCTATGCACGCTAGATATCTATCGTGTTCTTCCCGTGATTGACCCGTTTCATGATAGGCCGAGATCGGTAGCGATAAGTACTGTGAGACTGATAAGTCGTGTACGTGTGAGGCACGATCCGTGCTTTGACCTGTGACTCGACTCATACGGCCGCTGTGCATGCTGAAACAACCACGTTGCAACAGCAGAAACGGGTCTTTGGTCATCTCTGCAGCAGTCTTTAACTTCGGACAATCTTTCTTCCCTAGCTAAGCCACCCAGAATGGATAACTACATGCTTTGTGTATTATTAATGGGAAGCTCGAAAGATTGCTACAGCGCATTGGGAGCGAAGGATTGTTACGGACGCCGGAGTCCGGATGCTTGCGCGTCGAAATGAGAAAGGCATGATGTGTCTACGGTGACATGCTCAGGTAGCAAAAACCAAATCCAACCTGCTAGATCAATCAAAGAAAGAAGCGAGACTATTGAAACTAAAATGTTGAAGATGCACAGAGGATGACAAGCAAACCCGAGTCTTCGACCATTCGCGAAGAAGTTCCGTGT